ATAAAGAGTGTTGCATGAACAAATTTCTGTAAGCAGGTTCCTTCTCCCACACTACAAGTATTAATAGTGCTCTTCTGTTGAAATATTTCTCGGTCTCAGCTCTGTTCTCATTACACGTAGTGGCATCAGGGAAAATTAAATGCTGTCTTGGAATGACCAGTGGTGCCAATTAACCAAGAACATTAGGAAATTGTAAATGATTGTAAATTCAATAATAATTAAAAGGATGTAATTTTACTAAAAATAAGATGTAAAAATTAGCGAAGTTGAGCAAAATTCAGACCTTTAATTATAGAAATTGAGCATATTGAAACTGAGATCCTCATAAACCAATAAGAAAGAAGTATATAAAAACTTCATTTAAATAAAAAAAAACGTTATCACCCAAGTTGATACATTGGACACTGTTAGAATGTGAAAAGAGCACTGGAATCAACTAAAGTTGATTCCAGATCTGATACTTACAGCTGAGGAAATTCAAGCTATTTTTTTTTCTCTGAAATTGGGCTCATCAACAAAATAAGGATAGCAATGAATTCACTGAGTTTTTGTGAGGATCAAATGAGAATACCACCTAATTTACTACCTAACAACACATACTTGGCACTCAGTAATGAGTCTGCGTCTCATACTTTAAAAAATGAATGCATGGGCTGGGTGGGGTGGCTCATGCTTATAATCCCAGCACTTTGGGAGGCTGAGGTGGGTGTATCACCTGAGGTCAGGAGTTCATGACCAGCCTGGCCAAAATGTTGAAAGTGCAAATTAAAACCATGGTGAGATACCAGTATACATTTAACAAAGTGGCTAAAATAAAAAAAATTTGGACATTACCAGATGTTGGGGAAAATAAGGAAAAACTGAATAATTCATACATTGCTGGTGGGAATGTAAAATAGTACAGCTACTCTGGAAAACAGTTTGGCAGTTTTTTACAAAGTTAAACATATACCTATCATATAACCAGGCAGTCACACTCTTGAAAATTTGTCCTAGATAAATGAAAACTTATGTTTATGCAAACATTTGTACACAAATATTTCTTACAGGTTTATTTGTAACAACCAAAAACTGGAAACAACCCAAATGCCCTTTACAAAATAAATGGATAAGCAGACTGTGGGACATCCATACCATGAAATACTACTCAGTAATAAGGAGGGAGCTATGGATACACCCAGCAACTTAGATGGATCTCAAAGTCATGCTCAATGGGAAAAGCCAATCTCGAAAGGTTAAATACTCTATAGTTCTATTTATACAAGTTTCTCAAAATAGTAATAATAACAATATGGGGAACAGAGCAGAGGTTAGGGAGAGAGAAGGAAATAAAGGATAGCAATGCACTGACATTCCTTTGTAGTGACAGAATGGTCTGTATCTTTTTTTTTTTTGAGACAGAGTCCGACTCTGTCATCCAGGCTGGAGTGCAGTGGCGCAATCTCGGCTTACTGCAACCTCTGCCTCCCGGGTTCAAGCCATTCTCCTGCCTCAGCCTCTGGAGTAGCTGGGACTACAGGTGTGCACCACCACGCCTGGCTAATTTTTTTGTCTTCTTAGTAGAGATGTTTTGCCATGTTGGCCAGGCTGGTCATGAGCTCCTACCTCAAGTGATCCACCTCCCAAAGTGCTGGGATGACAGGCCCAAGCCACTGTGCCCGGGGATTACATTTCAACATGAGATTTGGGTGGGGACAAGTTTCCAAACGATATCACACACACATACTGAAAGATACGAGTACAGGCAAAACCTGGTGAAATCTTTTTTCAAGCAATTCTCCTGCCTCAGCCTGCCAAGTAGGTGGGATAACAGGTGTGCACCACCACATCTGACTAAATTTTGTATTTTTAGTAGAGACGGGGTGTCACCATGTTGGCTAGAATGGTCTCCATCGCTTGACCTCGTGACCTGGCCGCCTCAGCCTCCCAAAGTACTGGGATTACAGGCATAAGCCACTGCACCCGGCCGTTGTTTTTAATTCTGGCACTAATAACTGTTTTAAATTCTTTCTTGAACCCCTGATATTGTTTGTTTCCAGTTCTGCCCACTTTGCCGTTTAATACCCGATGAGAATCCAAGCAGCTTCAGTGGCAGTTTAATAAGACATCTTCAAGTTAGTCACACTTTGTTTTATGATGATTTCATAGTAAGTATATTTTCTTATTTTTACATTATGTTTTTATGCTGTCTTTGTTAAGCTTACTTTTCTGATCCAAGTGAATAAAATTATAGAGGAAAAAATGTATATATAGCTATAGTGTTGAGTATTAGCATTATGTAAGAAATCAAGAAAATAGAATGTTTTGGCCTGGCACAGTGGCTCATGCCTGTAATCCCAACACTTCAGGAGGCCGAGGTGGGCAAATCACTTGAGGTCAGGAGTTCAAGACCAGCCTGGGCAACATGGTGAAATCCTATCTCTACTAAAAATACTAAAAATAAAAAAATTAACCAGGCGGTGGCATACGCCTGCAGTCCCAGCTACTCCGTAGGCTGAGGCAGGAGAATCGCTTGAACCCAGGAGGCGGAGGTTTCAGTGAGCTGAGATCGTGCCACTCCACTCCAGTCTGGGCACCTGAGTGAGACTCTGTCTCCAAAAAAAAAAAAAAAAGCAATTTCAAGATAAAATTTAATAACGATTCAAGATCGTCATTTGAGAATTTTCTCCATGCTTTCTATCTGCCAATTATTATTATCCAGGTTGAACATAAGGAGCTCAGGTTCTAAACTAGTTTTAAGCAACAGCTCTGTCACATATGTGCGACCTTGCAGAAGGCATTTAACCTCTGAAACTCAGTTTGTCCATTGGTTAAGGGAAGAGATTAAAAGCACCTACTCTCAAAACTCTTCTTAGGATTAAATGAGATAATGTATATAAAGTGATTTGCACAGTTCAGGCACAGATGTTTGGCAAATTGGAGATGGGATAGGAGTAGAATTGTTAGGACCACTTGAGGAACTGAACAAGGAACATGACAGAGGCTTTAAATCCTCAGCTCCATATCTCTAAGCATGTGTCTTTTGTGGCCCATACGGCACACAGGCCTCAACAGAACTTGGTTCTGGTCTGTGTGTTCTCTCTGGTAAAACAAAGAGGTTTTTCTTGGCCCGGTGCGGTGGCTCACGCCTGTAATCCCAGCACTTTGGAAGGCTCACGCCTGTAATCCCAGCACTTTGGAAGGCCGAGATGGGCAGATCACGTGGTCAGGAGATCGTGACCATCCTGGCTAACACGGTGAAACCCCATCGCTACTAAAAATACAAAGAAATGAGCTGGGCGTGGTGGCAGACGCCTGTGGTTCCAGCTACTCAGGAGGCTGAGGCAGGAGAATGGCGTGAACCGGGGAGGGGGAGCTTGCTGTGAGTCGAGATCACACCACTGCACTCCAGCCTGGGCGACAGAGGGAGACTCCATCTCAAGAGGTTTCTCTTTACCTTAGCTCTATGAGATGTTCTAACGCCAGGTCGATTCTATGGCTCTTCTGGCTAATCATGTTCAGTCTGTTCTCAAGATCTTTCAGACAGGCCGGGCGCGGTGGCTCAAGCCTGTAATCCCAGCACTTTGGGAGGCCGAGACGGGCGGATCACGAGGTCAGGAGATCGAGACCATCCTGGCTGACACGGTGAAACCCCGTCTCTACTAAAAAATACAAAACTGCCCCTCACCTAATCCAGCACTTAGCGAGCGGCGATCACAAGAGAAACAAAAACTAAAAATACAAAAATTAGCCGGGCGGGTGGCGGGCGCTTGTAGTCCCAGCTACTCAGGAGGCTGAGGAGGAGAATGGGGGCCGGGGGGGAGCTTCAGGAGCCAGACGCGCCCTGCCTCCACCGGCACCGTGAGACCCACTCAAAAAAAAAAAAAAAAAAAAACTAGCCGGGAGGGGGCGCCTGTAGTCCCAGCTACTCGGAGGCTGAGGAGGGAGAATGGCGTAAACCCGGGAGGCGGAGCTTGCAGTGAGCTGAGATCTGGCCACTACACTCCAGCCTGGGCGACAGAGCTAGACTCCGTCTCAAAAAAAAAAAAAAAGATCTTTCAGACAAAGCATGATCCAGAGCTAGGCAGGATGAAGCCACTTTGATAAGAATACTTTGCAGCCACTCACAGCCATCTTCTTGGGTGTGGAAGTGAGCTTGAAGTAGTGTTCTTTGTTTTGATTTTTTGCTTCCTGAACTACTATATACTAAGCTAAGCACTCTATGTGTATATCACAATAAATTGTGATATGTACATAAGTTGTAGCAACTTCCGTGAAGTGAATACTGTATTTTTATCTTCATTTAACTGAAATATCTGAAGCTCAAAGGTTAACTAAATTACCTAAGAACAAGCCAGTATCAAGACCAAACCTTGTGCTCTGCTGTGCTTTATGGCTTTCCTTTGGATTTTGTGGAGTTTTTTTTTGTTTTTTGTTTTTATGTTGCAGAATGGACTTTGAATAGAGATTTCATCTTTTGTTATTGTGGAAGAGGAGAGGGATTGCAGAGAATAGGGTTCTTAATGGTTTTTGTTTTACTTATAGAATGTGCTGACATAGAATTTTGAATTCCACTTTGACACATAGGGAGGTAAAGAGAAAGTTTTGTTTTTAACATTTTCTTCGGAAATAGCTATTCAGTGGTACTGCTGGCATTGGTGAAGCCTGTGGGGGTGCCTGAACTTTGCTCCATTTTACAGGTTTGTGTGGAACATAGCACTCTGAGCAGGATTTGTAATGATGACTAAAAACTTCTCATTATATCAGATAAAAACTTCAAATTTTGAATCAAGGCTTTTTATTATGACAGTAACTAGTTAATTGATAGGCAGCAAAGTGAAGGAGAAAATTCATTAGCCCCAAGGCAAAAGTCCTGGGTTCTATGACAAGCTTTGTGGAACTTTGAACAAGTCTCCTAACTTTAGTTCCCTGCAAAATGAGGGTGTTGGATTGACCCTCATCCTCCAGTTTCTGAAATACTATTGACTCTGAATATTTCTAATTATTTTTCTTTATTATAGGATTTTAATATAATTGAGGAAGCTCTTATCCGAAGAGTCTTAGACCGGTCACTTCTTGAATATGTGAATCAGTCGAACGCCACATAATTTTATTAAAACGAAGGGAAAAGGGACCACTGAATTGCACCATTTAAGATGCTGCTTGAACAAATTGAAGGGAAGTTGTCAATGCTTGATGGGCAAAAATGTACAACACAGTTATATGTTTGTCCATGTTTATTGTTATAGTGCATTTAAAAACTGCTTTAATTTTGATGATTTAAATCTGTTTTACATCCTTGAGATTCCTACACATCTAACAAAAAAAAACTGTCTATATCAGTCGTTATTATATGGAAAAGGCACATGGTAGGCAAGTGGGTGGAGGATCTCGGTTTGCAAATTAGATAACACTCTGTGTATAATACTACATATTAATAACTACCATCATGGTTAGGCACGATAACTAATCTTTGTTCTATGTAAGAAAATAGAGAGTGAAACAAAATGCAGACATTCAAAGAAATAAGAAATCTGCTCCAATGCCCTTGCTCTAATCTCTAATAGATTAACATTAATAATCTTGTACGGGAGTTGGAAAGGAACATTTTGGAAGTCAAGGAAGTCCATTTAGGCCAGATGCAGTGGCTCACGCTTGTAATCCCAGCACTTTGGGAGGCTGAAGCGGGCGGATCAAGAGGTCAGGAGTTCGAGACTAGCCTGGCCAACACTGGTATCTGTGAAACCCCGTCTCTACTAAAAATACAAAAATTAGCTGAGTGTGGTGGTGGGCGCCTATAATCTCAGCTACTTGGGAGGCTGAGGCAGAAGAATCGCTAGAACCCAGGAGGCAGAGGTTACAGTGAGCCAAGATCACACCAGTACACTCCAGCCTGGGTGACAGAGCTAGACTCCATCTCAAAAAAAAAAAAAAAAAAAAAAAAAAAAAAAAAATCCATTTAACCAAATTACATTACATAATACTGTAACAAAATAAGTTTTGTGTTAGAAAAGTATACTTAATTCTTTGACTTTTTGTAACTGCATACACAAGAATTCAACATTTTTCAAATATTTGTAGTTTATTTTGAAATATTTCTACAATATAGGCAATTTCTTAAAAACCGTCAGGTGATACTTACAGTAGAAGTATTCACATCCAAACTTTTTAGTAGAAAACCCTAAGGGTTTTGATTTCTTTTTTGATTGTAACATTTTAAAAATTATGAAATAAAAGTACTGGAAACCAGACACAAAATTTATAGCTGAATGCTTTATTATAAGCAAATACTCTTTTAGGACTCAGCCAGTCACCACACGTGTCCTTTTTGTATCCTGTCACAATTACAACCCCACAAAAGTAACCACTAGACTGATTTAAATGGTAATCACTTTGTTGCATTTGATTACTGCTGCAACACCTAAATGCATATATCTATATTTTAATATTATCAATTTAAAATTATTAAATGTATATTTTATTTTACATCTCTTTTTTAATCTAGAAGTTCCCTCTTCTTTCCAGTTCCTTAGAATTTACCTGGTGAAGAACCTGATCCTAGGACCTATAGAGTTTCACATACTTTGTATTTTGCTGATTGCACACTCATGGCACAGTTCAGCACATTCCCCTGTCCTCTAGATATTAGCACATGGGGCAGGTTCAGGCACATTGTATTTGAGAAGACTTTGGTTCAGTCCTTTGGCAAGACTGTAAATCATGGTGTCTTCCTTCCTTCCTTCCTTCCTTCCTTCCTTCCTTCCTTTCCTTCCTTTCCTTCCTTTTTTTTTTTTTTTTTTTTTTTTTTCTTCTCTGTCCCCTAGTCATCCATTCCTCCTGCCTCCCTCCTTCCCCTTCTCCTTCCCTCCTGCTGGACCCCCCCCCTCGCCCTTTTTTTTTTTTTTCGGGTTCCCTTTCCTGGTCTCTTCCTCCTTGTCCCCGTTCCCTCCCAAGTGCTGGTTCCTTCCCCCCCCCCTTCCTTTCCTTCCTTTCCTTCCTTTTCTTTCTTTCCTCTCTGTTACCCAGGCTGGAGTGGGCACTGCAACCTCCATCTCCCGGGTTCAAGCAATTCTCCTGTCTCAGCCTCCCAAGTAGCTGGGACTACCACAATGCCTGGCTAATTTTTGTATTTTTAGTAGAGAGGAGGTTTTACCATACTGGTTAGGCTGGTCTTGAACTCCTGGCCTCAAGTGATCCACCCGCCTTGGCCTCCCAAAGTGCTGGGATTACAGACATTAGCCACTGCGCCTGGCTAAGTTTTGTATTTTTAGTAGAGACGGGGTTTCGCCATAGTAACCAGGCTGGTTTCAAACTCCTGACCTTGTGATCCGACCACCTTGGCCTCCCAAAGTGCTGGGATTACAGGCTTGAGCCACTGTGCCCGGCCTACAGGGTTTTTATCTAACCTTTCTGTTACAACTATACCACTCTTCTTCTATACTGAGAGTCCTGGTTTTCAAGAACACAGAGCATGATAGAATTAGAACATCCCACAATTACTCATTTCTTTTATTTACCTTACACTTGCAATTGCCTCAGAATACAACCACAACCAATATGGCAATTGAAATAAGTGTTCCATTTGCTTTTCCCATTCTTTCCCAATTTTTTATTTTATTTTATTTTTTTATTCTTTTTTTTTTTTGAGATGGAGTCTCGCTCTTGCTGCCCAGGCTGGAGTGCAATGGTGCAATCTCGGCTCACTGCAACCTCCGCCTCCCGGGTTCAAGCGATTCTTCTGCCTCAGCTTCCCGAGTAGTTGGGATTATAGGCATGTGCCACCACACCCTGCTAATTTTGTGTTTTTAGTAGAGATGGGATTTCTCCATGTTAGTCAGGCTGGCCTCAAACTCTCGACCTCAGGTGATCTGCCCACCTTGGCATCCCAAAGTGCTGGGATTACAGGCGTGGGCCACTGCGCCTGGCACCCCAATTTTTAAAATAGTTATATCAACATTTTCAGAACATACTGGTATAGCATACTGTACTTTCTTCCTTTTATCCCCCATTTATTCTTAGTTCTTCAACTGTGTATTTAACACTTACCCCAGTTTTTGTTGTTTTGTTTTGAGGTGGAATCTCGCTCTGTCACCAGGCTGGAGTACAGTGGTGTGATCTTGGCTCACTGCAACCTCCGCCTCCCAGGTTCAAGCAATTCTCCTGCCTCAGCCTCCCAAGTAGCTGGGATTACAGGTGGGCACCACCACGCCCAGCTAATTGTTGTATTTTTAGTAGAGATGGGTTTTGCCATGTTGGCCAGGCTGGTTTTGAACTCCTGACCTTAAGTGATCCACCCGTGTTGGCCTCCTAAAGTCCTGGGATTACAGGCGTGTGCCACTGCGCCAGGCAGTTGCCCCCAGTGTTTATTTGATGGCTCTGACTGTTTCTCATATCTGACCCTTTAATTATGAATCCAGGGCATAGATTAGTATCTCTATCTTGAAAGGAAGCAAAGAAGCCATGAAAATGAGTGATATCAACTCCTGAGGATAAAATGTTATTTGACTAGAGTTAGCTTTTTAATTGTGATCATTTATAAACTTCTTTGTTCCTTACATATAAGCATAGTCATAACCATGGTACCCAAAATTTTCTGTAAGTTATTGTAACTCCTTAAAAGTCTTGCTACAGTTCTTCTATCCAGTACAAATAACTGGGAAAATGTAAAGCTGAGTGAAATCTAGTGAGCCTCATATCCTCCCTTTTAGATATTGGTTTTAAGTTTGCTTTTCACAGCTGCTAAAAAGTAACAACTAATTTTTAGTTGCACAACCTCTCTTTCTTAAATTTGGATGGATCATACAATAAAGCAAAACCTGGCTGATTACAGTGGCTCACACCTATAATCCCAGCACTTTGGGAGGCTGAGGTGGAGGGTCACATGAGCCCAGGAGTTCCAAGACCAACCTGGGCAATATAGTGAGACTCCTCTTAAAAAAAAAAAAACAAAAAAAAAAGCTGGGCATGATGCACACTATTATTTTCAGCTACTAAGAAGGCTGAGGTTGGAAGATCACTTGAGCCCAGGAGGTTAACACTGCAGTGAGCTATGATCATGCTACTGCACTCCAGCCTGGGCAACAGAGCAAGACCTGGTCTCCAAAAACATAAATAATTAAATATAAATAAAAATCAAGCAAAACCTGTTGGGAAACAAGAGAAAAAGGAGAGGAATTTTTCAGGAATAATCATAAAAAGAAAAATGATCATCAGACTGAAAGTCTAGCGCCTGAGAGATGAAAACATATTTTTAAGCATTGGTGTTGACCATGCAGACAAACTTCTGTTAATTCAGAGCAGTACAAAAGGCACCTTTGAATCTATAAAACTTGAAAAAAGTTAAAAATTGTATTTTGGATAGGCCAGGCGCGGTGGCTCAAGCCTGTAATCCCAGCACTTTGGGAGGCCGAGACGGGCGGATCACAAGGTCAGGAGATTGAGGCCATCCTGGCCTACGTGGTGAAACCCCGTCTCTACTAAAAAATACAAAAAACTAGCCGGGCGAGGTGGTGGGCACCTGTAGTCCCAGGTACTTGGAAGGCTGAGGCAGGAGAATGACGTAAACCCGGGAGGCGGAGCTTGCAGTGAGCTGAGATCCGGTCACTGCACTCCAACCTGGGTGACAGAGCGAGACTCTGTGTCAAAAAAAAAAAAAATTGTATTTTGGATAAAGCTTTAAGTCATCTGTCACTATTAACCTCAATGCAGCAATTCTGACTCCTGTGCCTGGATTCCTCTTATGATAATTTTGCCACCTACAGGACAGATTAGGTGCTGGTCGCCTGAATTATTTTGTGTTCTGAATTATTTTGAGTTCTAAAATGGTAAAGTGCAAATACTCATTGTTTCACTGTGCCTTTGGCCTTTTATAAAAAGGTATTTCTAATTCGTTGGTAAAAACCAATATTTGAAGCTATTGATTACCAACAAAAAAGTTTCACTGTCTTTATAGTGCCTCAGGATACAACTTTTTCAAGGCTTATTAGAGAAAAACTGATTCACATATTATTCTTCTAAAGCTAAATTCTTAAAATGTAGGTTGAAAGAGTGGATTGATTGTGAATCTACACTAAACATATGGTCCCAGGCAGACCTCCTTAGAGACCTCCAGGCAGACCTCCTTACTGTCTTCAGTGATGTTGCATTTCGTTACTGTTACTGGGTGCCAAGTGTCTTTCATTTGGAAGTGAACTTACTCCAGTTATTGAATGTTTATCATATCATAATTTGTATTTTCAAACATTAAGTTTTTCAAACATTAAAAAGTCACTAAGAGATTCATTCTTTTATTATTCAACTACAAAAAAATTAGTGTAATGATTGGAATTTAAAATGTACAATTCTTTTTCTTCTGTAAGTATATATTGCTATGATAAATAAAAAATGGCAGGACCATTGTTTTTATTAAAATATCTACTGTGTCTATTCTTAAACATTAATCTTGGTTACTTTTTTATTCAAACCTAGTAATGCTTTTTAAATCTTCATCATTGAGCAACAATGATGAATGAAAGGTATACATTCATTTAGGCCAGTAGTTTGCAACTGGGGATAATTTTGTCTCCCAGCAGACTTTGGCAATGTCTAGACACATTTTGGGTTGTCCTAACAGGGCTCAGGTGTACTAGTGGCCTGAGATCTAGATAGAGGTCAGGGATGCTGTTCAGCATTCTACAGTGCACAAGACAGCCCCTCGCAACAAAGCATTATCCTGCTCAAAATGGCAATAGTGCCAAGGCTTAGAAACTGATTTGGCCAACATAATACTGAGCACTGTGGAATTATTCATTCTGCTAGCAAGAGGCTTCACTGAAATTTAAAAGGTAAGATGTAGATAGATTCTTCCCCCTGCTAAATCCATACTAAGTTTTGAATGGCCGTAGCTGCCATGTGTACCCATATGTCATGAGCATATTAATTTTTTGATTTTTTGCAAGAACATGTACAGGACAGAACACAAGTGTTACTGACGAAACCTCTGATGCTTCTCTGTTTGCTGAGTGACGTTCTAGATGATTGAGGGAACCCAGGATCAGTTGAGAAGATTTACCTTTATCATTTAGATTATCTTTATTGAAATAAGTAAGACAAAATATTACAGAGGGATACTCATGTCTGAGATCCTTGAAGCTAATAGTTATGTTTTTGTATTATTACTAGAAAATCATGTGATGTCTTAATCCTAAATATTTCAGCGAAGACAGTGCATGGATCTTAAGGCTAATCATTGCCACCGAAGTAGCCATATAAGAAGCCCAACGAAGGAGAATCACAGGGAGTAGTATTGATCTAGGTGAATTGGATTATGCTACAATTACAAGTCCCAAATCCCAGGGCTCACCCAAAGTCTACAGTGGTTCCTGGCTATTCTCTAGGGAAGCTGTTCTCCAGCTTCAGAATTCCAGGGTACTTTCATCTCATGGCATTTGTATATCACTGTGTGTTCCTATATCACCCCTCACAACAGGCTGCTGTGTTGGCTACACAGGTAATTTCTGTTCATTATTTGCCAATGCAAGTCACATGGCCATATGTAATGTCAAGGCATTGAGGAAGTGCAGTCTTCTCATGTAGAAGAGAACTGGATACTGGGGCATAATAGTAATACCAACCATGAAAGTACAAGCCAGGCAGAGTTGACAAAGACAGGAAGTACACAGGGTAAAGACATTAAAAATATGTGTGGAAAGAAGGGGTGAAAAGTAAAAATGAGACTAGCTTTCTAAAACATGAAGTGATATTCATTTTTGCCATGGTAATATTTTATTTTTCTTTTTGTGTT